CTTCTGGTAGTCCATGGTATCATCAATATTCTTTGTCAATGCCATGATTCAAAAGCATCAGTTCTTCTTGGGTTTCACTTAGTCCGTGTCCAGCTTTTACATATGTATAAGGTGATTGAAAATACCATGGCTTGGGTCAAGTTTACCTTAGTCTTCAAAGTGACATCTTTGCTTTTTAACATTCTAAAGAGGTCTTTTGCAGCAGACATAGCCAATGCTAATGTGTCAGATTGCAAAGCCATTTGAACAGCAAGGCAGTGGTTCAAGCTCACCAGCTGCTACTTGGAAACCATATACAGAGTCGCTATGGGTCAGAATCAACTCGACAGCACTTCACAACAACAAACAGCAAATGTCCTTTGATTGCTTGACTGCTGCCTCCATGGACATTGATTGTGGATCCAAGTAAAATGAAATCCTTGACGACTTTAGTCTTTTCTCTATTTGTCATGATGTTGCTTATTGGTTCATTGCAAGGATTTTTGTTTTCTTTATACTGAGCTACAACCCATAGTGAAGGCTGTGGTCTTTGATCTTCCTCAGTTAAGTGCTTCAAGTCCTCTATAGTTTCAGCAAGCAAGGCTGTGTCATTTGCATATCACAGGTTGTTAATGAGTCTTCCTCCAATCTTGATGCCACATTCTTCTTCATAGAGTCCATTTTCTTGGATTATTTGCTCAGCATACAGATTGAATAATTATGGTGAAAGGATACAACCCTGATTTACATCTTTCCTGATTTCAAACCATTTACTATTACCTTATTCTGATCAAATGACTGCCTCTTGGTCTATGCAGTGGTTCCTCATGAACACAATGAAGTGTTCCTGAATACCCATTCTTCACAATGTTAGCCATAGCTTATTTGATCCACACAGTGAATGCCTTGGATAGTCAATAAAACACAAGTAGACATCTTTCTGGTATTCTCTATTTTTCAGCCAAGATCCATCTGGCATCAGCACTGATAACCCTTGCATCCCATTCCACTGGTATCCCTCTTTTGAATCTGGCTTGAACTTCTGACAGTTCACTGTTGATGTATGACTGCAATCATATTTAAAATTATCTTCAGTAAAATTTTACTTGCACATGCTATTAGTGATACTGTTTAATAATTTCCACAATCTTTTGATGTTACGTGCCATCGAGTCAGTTCCGACTCCTAACGACCCTGTATAGGGTTTTTGAGGAGCAGTTGGTGGGTTTCAACTGCAGACCTTGTGGCTCAGACTGGCTTTGCAGTCTAGTGCATGATCCTGCAGTGCTACATCAGGATCACCTTTATTTGAAATGGGAACACATACCCCTACCTTATTTGAATAGTGGTGCGCCTGACCCAAACCAAGGTATTTGCAATAACCTCATATGCATATGAAAGCTGGACAGTGAATAAAGAAGACTGTAGAAGAATTGATGCTTTTGAGTTATGGTGTTGGAGGAGAATATTGAAAGTGCCATGGGCTACCAAAAGAACCAACAGATCTGTGTTGGAAGAAGTGCAGCCGAGGTGCTCCTTAGAGGCCAAGATGGCCAAACTTTGTCTCTCATACTTCAGACATAATGTCAGGAGGGACCAGTTGCTGGAGAAGGGTATCATGTTTGGTAAGGTGGAGGGTCAGAGAAAAAGGGGGAGACCCCCAGCGAGATTGATTGACCAAGTGGCAGCATCGATGGACTCAAGCATGGCAACAAATGTGAGGTTGACCCAGGACTGGGCAGTGTTTCATTTTGTTGTGCATAGGTTTGCTATGAGTCGATACCCACTCAATGGCACCTAACAACAACAACAATAGTGAACTATTGATTACTTACCATCTGCTATTTACTATTAAGAACAAGTTTTGGTGTTAGATAATTTAATGTTCTTAATAAACCCCATTTGCAGATTTAAAAAAGTACATTGTTGTTGTGATGTGCCGTGGAGTCAGTTCCGACTCATAGTGACCCTGTACAGGGTTTCTGAGGTTGTAAATCTTTACAGGAGCAGAAAGCCTCATCTTTCTCCCGCGGTACAGCTGGTAGTTTCAAACTGCTGTCCCTGAGGTTTGCACCCCCATTTGAAACAACTACAGTACCAGAGCTCCTTAAAAAAAAGTATAGGCAAATTAAAAAGAAAACTGAAGTAAAAAGCTTAAATAACCTTCACCTTGTGTGACACAGATATTAACTGGTGTTCCCAGTATCCAAATCCAGATTTGTAACCACTATGGTAGTTTCCCTTTCCTAAGGCTGGCATTAAAGAGGAATTCTTTGTCCGTTGGCAGTATGCTAGCTTCTCAGGTCTATTTGAATCCTTTGCAAATAACGGTAGTGCAATCACGTTGGAGAAGAGCTTGTTGTCAGTTGCAAGCTGTCACTGAACCAATCTCTGACACAAGGACAACAGAATACCGGAGCCTATCCCAGAACTGATTTTCAGAAGTAGATTGCCCGGCCTTTCTTCCTGGTCCATCGTAGTCAGGAAGCCCCACTAAAGCCTGTCCATCATCAGAGCAACATGCAAGTCTCTGCTGACAGGTGGGAAGTAACTGCACATGAAGTGCATTGGTCAGAATCGAACCTGAATCTCCCACATGGAAAGTGAGACTTCCACCACTGAAGCACAATACCCCCAGAAAAGAGCTTCGGAATCATTTAATCCCAAATGATAATGACGTTACATAGTACTCACAAGAAGAAATTACTAATCAATCAGGTCATTATCTTCAATAACCCAAGGTTAAGACCTCACGGATGTTTTTTCAACAAATCCAATCCGTAATTTTGATACATAATTGAAAACAATCTCATACGTCTCAAAACCTTATCTTTTATACATGAGAAAGGTCCATCTTAGACTCTAAAAGACTATTTAATGGTCACATCGCTAAATCAAGACTAGTCTCGGGTTACTGGAGACATTTTTACTGATTCTTATTCTAGTCACTATGGTTCTTGCTGCCGTTTCTGCTCAGATGAGAAATTCGCCAAATCCTGAGAACATTCTGTGAGACAATGACTTCATTTTTGAATAGAAAATATACACAGGCTTGATCTCTAAGTCAACACAAGGATTAGCACCCCATGATGCAACTGCAGGGGACTGTCCCTAAAATGAGTATAAAGTGCTGTCATTCTGCAAAAGTTTAAGATCCTCTGCCAGAGCAAATCCCACTGACACTAACAGGTTTTAAGATCTAGAAATCCTTCCTCATCAGAAGTTTGCACAGTGTGTGCAATAAGTGGAAAATACATGAGGAGAATGATGAAAAGTTGTTATAATGTCATAATAAACCAATCAGAAAAGAAACAATCACCCAATTGAAGAATATGAACATTAATCCCAAGGAAAAAATAAAGCCACTAACATATATATTGTTGATGTTCTTGTTAAATGCTGTTGAGTCAGTTCCAACCCATAGTGACTCTGCATAGGGTTTCCTGGGAGCAGCTGGTGAGCTTGAACCACTGACCTTGCAGTTCAAACCAACTTCGCAGTCCAGCACATTAGCCCACAGCGCCACCCCAGGAAAATAATGTTTTGTTTTTTTTCTTTTCATTCACTTTATGTTCAGGTATGGTTTATATACAGTGATGTGCAGAAATCTTACATCACTAGGGGTCACAATTGACTTGATGGTTGTGGATTGGGTTTGATTTAAGCAACCATTTAACTAACTCTGGGATTATGATAGAACATTCCAAGATATTAAAACTATAATGAGTTCACTGTTGCTGTTAAGGGCCATCGAGTCCATCCCAACTCCAGTGACCCTGTATGGAGTTTCTAAGGAGTGGCTGATAAGTTTGAACCTTGTGGTTCAAATTGACCTTGCAGTCCAGTTCTCATCCTACAGCACCACATACCAGGAAGCCAATGAGTCCATAGTGATAAAAATAAATAATTGAATACATAAATAAAAGGGAGAGAATAATTCCAAATAACTTATGTAGATACTCTGCACTGAAGGAGGGGAGTGTGTCTCCCCGGGCCAGTAAGTATGGACTGACTCCTTTCTAAGGAGGACAGCATGAAAAAGGGAGGGAAAGAGTAACTTACAATGGAGAATGCTGGCCAAAAGCACCGTATTCAGGTGGTGACGGCTAACCTCAGCAATGGTGAATCATGCTGAAGGTATCTCTCCAGTAGTAAACTAACCCTAATGGGAGTAGCTAGCATAGTGAATGATGAGCTGGGCTGCTAAGGTCAGTAGTTCGAATCTGCAGGGAAAAAAATAAATAAGACTGTCTGTTCCTATAAAGATTTACAGCCTCAGAAACCCTATAAGGGTCACTGTGAGTCCAGATTGACTGGGTGGTGCACAGCCACGACCACCAATTGAGGTGGGAGTGTGGGAGGTTTGATGAGGTCACTGGTTTGAAAACCCAGTCCCCCCTGTACTGTGTTTGAAAGGAGGGGGTTGGGAAACTTTCTGGAAGACCCATTCCACCTTTATTTGCATGAACATCCATATGATTTCATTTGGAAAGACACTAGAGTGGTAAGCTACAATGATACAAGACCAGCGCACTGTCCAGTTTTGACGACCCTTACCAGTAAGATCTCAGGACACTAAGTGAGACTTGAAGTCTTAGAAGACCACCACTGGTTTCAGACTGAGATGATCTGAGTCTGAGGGAGAGAATCAGAGCAAAGCCTCCTGGTCCCTAGGGAGGGACAGACCCTTGGCTCTCTTCACTCTACTGTGATCTCAGCTTCTGTTCTTGAGTTCCTAAGGATTATGCTCCACTTCAAACATCTTAACAGACCAACAGTAGCCCAATGAAGTCACTTCCTACACTCTGCTTACATGGCTACATCGTCTTCCACCTCTGCTCCCCTGACATCTTCCGTCTTCCCTCAGTGTCTAGAAACCACCCAGGCACTAGTGTCTACTCAGCATATTCAGGGTCTCATTTCATCTTTCCTTGACCATGACCCTGTCCAGGTTCTCTGCTTCCTATAAAAAGCAGTCCAAATCACAGAGGAACAGAGAGGCTGAGAACTCTCCCTCCAACATGAAGGTCTCCACGGAGTTCCTGTCTCTGCTGCTCGTAGTAGCCACCTTCAGCTCCCCCACACTTGCTCAGGCCGGTGAGCCCTTTCTCTCCTCAGGCTTAACATCTTACCTACTGCACCAGGCATCTCAAACAGAGCCTGCATTGTAAATGCGGAGGCAGTGAGACCCTGAGAGGCATGAAGGAAGATGAGCAGACAGTCAGAGGCAGATAAGTGTCCGGCTCACTGAGTCCAGTCCCCAGAAACTTTCCTGACGACACTAGCTTTGGAAAGACACTAAGTGCAGCCACTACTTCACCTACCCACATAGTGTTTGGGGATTTTTACTCTCTCACTGTGGGCATTTCAGGCAGTAGCAGAAAGGGGGGAAACCCTGTTGTTTGGGGCTTTAATTTGGCACCATGTCCAAGGGAGTTTATAGAAATAGTAGTTGTGGAACAGCAATAAAGACCCAGAGGGGTCTCAACATGTGACATAGGTTGGCTCTAAAGCCCATGGAGAAAAATCACAATGAAGCAAAGTCCTGGAACTTATTTTCTCAGCATCAGATATTTGGGATTAGTTTTTGTTGGTCTTGCTGTCATGTGTGATTCTGAGCCATGGCAACACCGTATATACGGAGCAGAACTATTCCACAGGGCTTTGAAGGGTGACCTTTCAATAGACCCTCCTACTGATGCTAGGCGCTCTGAGCTTGTTAATCAGGAATGGTGCATACCCAATCAACAAGAGAAGGTCCCTACAAGTTCAGTAGAGGAAAGAGACTCCGAGGTAGCAAGAGTTCATCTCTGGGATGTGAATTTGGGAGTGGGTGGGTTCTATGTCTAATCCGCATTTACTTTGTCTTCTGCTACCTTCTCCTTACCGTACAAAGCTATATTTCTAATGCATATAACATGGTATTCTTTACATTTTACAGTTTCTGTTTCTATTCCCATCACCTGCTGCTTTAAGGTGATCAGTCAAAAGATCCCCATCCAGAAACTGATGACCTACACAAAAATCACCAACAGCCAGTGTCCACAGGAAGCCATGATGTGAGTGGACCAGGCCCAGTCCCCTCAGCCAAAAGTTGTATCTCAGGAACAAGGGGGAGGAGGGAGGGAAGGAGGTCAGGGGTCACATCCAAAGGAGTCAGATATAACCATGCAATTCAAAAAGTCCCTTTATTCCATAGAGGAACTGAATTCATAAGGGAAAAACTCACTCAAGGCATGGTCCCATGTCCCCCAGTCAGGAGCAGGGAGGGTTTTCCCTGAAATAACTCCCTCCTGTAGCTCATTCCTTTCACCTTCAATCTTTCCCTTGTGTCCAAGTCAATCTCCTCATCCAGGAAAGGAGTGAGTAGGTTTGGGGTCCAAGTGGCCCTAGTTCTGGACAGAACCCTTCAGGTACTCTAACTCTTCACCCTCTCCTCCACAGTTTTAGGACTACAAAGGCCAATGAAGTCTGTGCTGACATCAAGGATAAGTGGGTCCAGAAATCTATGGACTACCTGGACCTAAAGTCACAGACCCCAAAGCCTTCAACCATCACCCCCAGACTAGGAAACAGAGCCTGAGAAAATACCTTATTTCTTTTTCCTCAAACTTTCCCAGGTGCAGAGTGATCATATTTTATTATACTATCCAGGAGATACTTTGTTCAATAATTTAAAGCATAATATTTATAATTCATATTTATTTATAATTAAGTTATTGATGCTTGGACTTTGTCTTTCATAAATTTTGATGTACTTACTAAATATAAAACCCAAAATGACACACTTTCCATTTGGGCACATCAATTTATTTTGTGGCAGAATGTCTTTTTTTTTTTTTTAAATCTCTGTGATGTGAAGTGACACTAGCTTTGGGGAGAGTCACTAAGTGCAGCCACTGCTTTACCTATCCACGTTTTGTTTGGAGATTTTTCAAAGCAGCAATGATACTACTCTCTCTCATTGTGGACATTTCAGGTAGCAGCAGAAAGGAAAGAAACTGTTGCTCTAGGCTTTAATTGTTTAAGTCCTTCCAGGGACCATCCGTGTCAAGCACTTCTGTATTTTTAGGGAGTCAGAGTTCTTGTGAGTCAAATGAGTAATGTGCTGTGTTGCTGCCAAAATTAATGTTACTATGTGACAACGTAACTTTCAAATATATATATATAATTTTTAACTACTCAGTCTTATTTTGGGGGAGTAACATTTAGCTGGGAGGAAAAAAATGGCAGAAGTGGTTGGTAGTGCTGAGTCCATTGCGTAACTAGGAAACTGATGACACAGAGGGGGAGAGCATGAGTAAGTAACTGTGGTAAAGATCATGGAAGCCAAGTCTCTTGTTGCTAGAGAAGATTCTCTACAAAAATACGGATACTGGAAAGCTAGAAATAAAGCAACAACCTGTGGTGTTGGACAGGAATAGGCGATACTGGTGTAACCTCTTGGTTTAAAGGCTATCTAGCAAGAAACACACACACATAGGTTGTTGTTGTTCTTGTTAAGTGCCATCTGGTTGGTTCTGACTCTTAGTGACCCTGTACAGGGTTTCCAAGGAGAGGCTGGTGGGTTTGAACCACTGCCCTTGAGGTTAGCCGTAGCGTGTGTATCCTCCAGTGCCACACCAGGACTCCACACCTAGGTAAATGTCTACTGAAAGCCTAGAAATGATAGCATTCTAGTAGTAATGTGTGTAGCAAGGGCACTTGGTTTCTAAAGATTAATCTTCATTAAAGAAACACCGGTTCCTTGGATAAATGAACAAGGGCTAGAATATCAGGCTGCGAAAGAGAATAAACAGTGCTCAAAGAATTATGGAACTATGTCAGGAAGAAACACGACCCTATTTGAAGGGGATTCTACTGGCCAATTCTGGGATCATTTGAGCCTCAAAATCAATTCAAATGTTTTAAAGGTTAGCAATGGATTTTAACCCTTGGGGCAATATTAAAGAAGAGAAAACTCTAAGAGTGAAATCGGAGTTAGAAGATCATCACTTAGCGACTATCAAAGTAAAAATTTATTCAAGCAAGAATGATCTATTTATTATCTATAGATGATTAACCTCGCGGATGAAAAGTCGATTATATGCAGAACATTTACATAGCCTCACAATACCTCTCCACAACAAAATTAATAATTACTCTTTCTGCTAGTTGCTGAAGAGTTGGCTTTTTCTCATGACAACCATGTGGAAAGTAGAAGAAAATATTGCCCTGGTTGGTGTGCTTGAACCACTGGTTCTAGCCGCTGAGTCAGTCTGTCTCATGGAAGGCTTCTTTCCCTAGTCTTTGCTGACCCTTCACTCGACCAAATTAACAATTACTTACAATAAGTCACTTGACTTGGAGTCCTGGTGTGGCGCTGTAGGATGAACATTGGACTGCTAACCAGCCTCTCCTCAGATACCCTATACAGGGTCTCTATGAGTCAAAACTGACTCCCCAGCACTTAACAACAACAGTTACTTGATTAGGAAGAGAATATTTACATAGCATCAAGGCATCTGCTCCCAACATCATAATACTTATTTAATATAAGTTAAGAACAATGAATAAGGAAGACTGGCAAAGAATCCATGCATAGAATTAAGTTTATAATGAAGAATACTGAACATACCGTGGACTTCTGGAAGAATAAACACATCTGTCTTGGAAGAAGTACAACCAGAATGCTCCTTAGAAGTGAGGGTGGCCACTGTTTGAGGCAAGCATTGAGAGAGTATTTTTGAGATACTGGAAGTATTTTTAGATTACCTAAAGGTTTACAATTCCTCCCCCATTACCTGACAACCTCTAATCCTGTCTTATCCTGAGTCTGGATTCAACCTACTTGGTTTCTTGAAGTTCTCACACCCTCTAGCAATGAGCAGTTTTGTTGACTACTAATTCAATGTTATGGATAGACACAATGCTATTGGATTTTCTTGTTGTCGTTAGGTGCCATCAAGTCAGTTCCAATTCAAGTGACCCAATGCCCCCAAAAGGAAACACTGTCCAGTGCTGCGTCATCCTCCCAATTATTGCTACACTTGAGCCCATTGCTGCTGTCACTGTGCCAATCCATCTCGGGGAGAAGGGTCTTTCTCTTTTTGACCAACTCTCTACGTTACCAAGTATAATGTCCTTCTCCAGGGATTGGTCCCTCCTGATAAGATGTATGGGACATGAAGTCTGGCCATCCTGGCTTCTAAGGAGCATCCTTGCTACGCTGCTTCTAACACACACCTGTTTGTGTTACAATCCATGGTACTTTCTAAATTCTTCTCCAACACCATAATTCAAATGCATTGATTCTTCCCCACATTCTCTTAGTCATTGTCCAACTGTCACGTGCATATGAGGCAGTTGAAAACACCATGGCCTGGGTCAGGAGCACCTTAGTCTTCAAACTGACATCTTTGCTCTTGAACACTTTAAAAGGGCATTTGCAGCAGATTTACCCAATGCAGCACATCATTTGATATATTTTTTATTGCTACTTCCATGCGTGTTGATCGCGTATCCAAGCAAAAGAAGACTTTGCCAATTTCAGAATTTCAGTCTTTTCTCCATTTATCATATTATTTATTGATCCAGTTGCAAGGATTTTGTTTTCGTTACGTTGAAGTCCAATCCATAATGAAGGTCATAGTCTTTAATCTTCATCAGTAGGTATTTTAAGTCCTCTTGCTTTCATTTTTGACACCTTCCAATTTTCCTAGATTCATCATTCATACATCCTATGTTCCAATTATTATTGGATGTCTGCAATTGTTTTTCCTCATTTTGAGCTGTGCCCATCAGTAAATAAAGGTTTAGAAAGCTTTGCTCCATTATTTTCATTATGGTCAACTAATACTTCAGTAAAGTGGAGGGTCAGAGAAAAGAGGAAGAAGACTCCCAACGAGATGGATTAGCACAGTGGCAGTAGCAGTGGGCTCAAACATAGCAATGATTGTGAAGCTGGCAAAGGACCAGGCAGTGTTTTATTCTGTTGTGCATATGTTCGCTAGGAGTTGGTACCAACTTGATGGTGCTTACTAACAACAACAATCCTCCGAGGAGGCAGCACTTCCCCATTCAGATTTTGAGTGTCTTCCAACCTGAGTGACTCATCATCATGCACTACATATGACAATTTGTTGTTGTTAAGTGCCGTCAAGTCGGTTCCAACCCATAGCAACCCTGTATAGGGTTTTCAAGGAGCAGCTGGTGAGCTTGAACCACTGACCTTGCAGTTCAAACAGCTTTGCAGTCTGGCGCATTAACCCACAGCGCCACACCAGGACTCCATATCTGACAGGATCCACTGCAATTCATAAGGCTTTTAGTGGCTAAACATTCAGAAGTAATCTGCCTATCCTGCTTTCTAGTCTGTCTTAGTCTGGAAATTTCATTGAAACCGGTCCACCCTGGGTGACCCTGCTGGCATTTAAATGATCAGTTTCATAGCTTACAGCACCACAGGAACATGCAAGACACCACAGACAGAGGAGTGGTGGTTTTGCTACTATGAATATGTGTGCAAGCTGTTTTAGTTCAATTCTTTCCTGAAATAGATTTGAATTCGCATGGCCAAAAAACTGAGGGTGGCGAGGCTTTACTTAATGCACTTTGGACATGTTATCAGGAGGGACCAGTCCCTGGGAAAGGACATCTTGCTTAATAAAGAAAAGGGTAAGCAAAAATAGGAAGACCCCTCCCTCCCCCCCAAGGAGATGGACTGACACAGTAGCTGCAACAATGGACTCAAATGTGACAATTGAGAAGATGGTGTAAGATTGGGCACTGTTTCCTTCTGTTGTGTATAGCGTTGCCGCTATGAATCAGAGACTAATCTACATTAATATGTAACATCAATAGATTAATCATTCTATGTTACACAATTAATATTTACTTATTAGTTAGCTATTTATTAATCTACTTATACAGTGAAGAGAAAGGCAGACATAATTTTAACCAAGCAATAATAGAATTAGCGTTGCCAGTAATGGGAGAAATCAACCTGGTGACTCCAGGTTTGATGCACTGAGAAGAATACATTACTTCAGTATCTTCCTGCCAAACTTGCATAAATTGAATATAATCATGAAGAAAGAATAGATAAAGCGAACTAAGAAAGAGTCTACCGAGTAACCAAACTTACTTTAAAGGTCACAAAAGACAAACACCAAAATGATGAAAATGAAAAATATTAATAATGTTGAAAATGCAGAGCAAATGGCTTGCTGGTGGAATGTTGTGGAAATTCTTCGGCAATTTTTGATAAAGTTTAAAATATGCTTGGTCTATGTTTCAGAATAGCCACTTCTAAATAAATATTCAGAATAAATGAGTGTATATGAATACAAAAAGATTTAAACAAGATTGATGGTGGCTAGGGTGGAGGTGCAGTGAAGTTCGCTGTCAGCCATATCACAGAATACCAAGCAAAGCAGATCCAGGGCAGAGCAACAAAACTCAGAACCACAGAGATTGGAATATTTTAAAAGTCTGAAGGCTTATAGCTACTGGAATTTGAAGCTAAAGGAAGAAATCGCATACTTTTGAATCGGCGGGCTGGGCTCAGAGGCCCGGAGCCGACATTTTGGGCGAGACCAAACG